GAATGCCGTGATTAAGTCATGACATATGGAGAACTAAGTCTGAAGATAATTGGGTTTCTCTTACATGAGGAGAAAGAAATTTAGCCACTAGGGGTTTGAAAGTTTTCTGCACTACAGTTAACACCCTGAAAAGCTGGAATTAAAGTTGGAGAATTAGAGTGGCCAGTACTCCCATATCTTCAACTCCTATCTGTTGTTAAATTAAAGTATCCATGACCTGACTTGCTGAAAAAATGGCTTACCAGAACTATGATGACATAAACAAGCACATTGCAGCTCTGGTCAGCAGTTCGCATGTATATACAGTGGTTTTCAGAAAGATCATATTTCCCAGCAAATACCACCACTAGCATTGCTATTCTAAATTAAGGGAATACTGCTGCATTTCAGAGACAATAGTCTAATAACTACTGGTAACAATTATTTTTTTTCGGGATAACAGCTTATATGTATGTGTGATACCATGTCAGGGGTGGTTGGTGCCTTCTGAGTCTGGGGGAGTGGCACAATTTGTTGGCGGGCACAGGAGAGGTCCAAAAGCCTCATCTCTACTCCTACACTTGTGTGCCATGGCTTAGTGCGCCCTTCCCCCCAACACACACTGCCAGCCTGCGCAGCAAAAAAACTGCCCAGTCCTGAATCGGGGGCCAATCTCGGGCGGGGGAGGGATGTGCCCCCCGCCATATCCCCCCTAGCAGTCACCTTTGCCACATTTTAAGTATTATCTATGTGATTAATGGCATTTGTTGTGCACCTTTTCCCACTCATCTTCTCAGTCAGAAACCTTTGAGCAGCTTCAAGGAGCCAGCATTTTTACTTCAATCTGCCACATAGATGTTTCCTTTTTTCCCCCCCACAGAGGTGGACTTTCCAATCCAACAAAAACTAAATTACACTGGCCTCCGGCCATGTTAGCAGTTCTGGAGGGCTGGACTAGTGACAAGTTTAAGATTGGATATCTAACCAGCTTTCTGGGTTAGAAATCATTGAAAAGGGGAGATTCTCAGTGGGATCAACACTTTGTTTTAGCCAGGAAAGGTCCTGAGATAGTGAATTGGACATTAGACTTATGATATCTTTATATATAGAATATTATTTTATATTCCTTACATATGAATCAATAGCATTTTGATCCTGGCCAAGAGATACTGTTTCCACAATGAGTTCTTCTAAAAAACAGGAGAAGGATTGGAGACAGAAGAAGATACTGAAAATGTCCATTTGGCCACTTGTGTGGACAGTTGTGATGGGACATCTGTCTTTTGAGAGAAAGGGAGATCCTGAGAGAGATTCCAGACAATGGGAGGGTGATCAGAGTGGGAAGGAAGGAACAGTATTTTTTGTGTTTCTTAAATGGTTTGTCCATTGTTACCAGCTTCATTGCAAATAAATAAATGTTACAGGATGACAAAGGAAGAACTTACCTTGTTTTCATGAGAAGCAAGTTTTATATGTGTGTGGCTGCTGTGAAACACTATTTTAAATACATCCTTTAATGTGTAGGTTCCCAGGTATTCCAGTGCACGTGAATAGCCTGAGATATTCTAGTTCATATATGTCAGAGGCAGAGAGATTAATGTGAAGTGTAAGATCCATGACCACATTAAGCTGCTTAGGTTTGTCTCAAATTACATTTTCAAAGGAGGAACAGGATGCCTACAGAAGACCCATTTCTTGCAAGACCTGTATGCAAATTGGAGTGTGTCCGAATGATAATAATGCTTTGTGCTTTCATACCGCTTCCCATCAGGGAGTCTCCAAAGCACTTTGCAAACATTAAAAGATGCATTGAGTTTTCTCCATCTCCATTTTACAAGAATGGAAACTAGGTCGTAAGGGGGTTAGGGTCTATGTTTTCAAAAATGTAATAACTTTCACTGTTTCAATTTTGGGTTTTCTAACCTTAAGCAGCAGTACCTGAATTTCAGATGCTGAAACTGATGGTGGGCTCTACAAGTGGTCAGCAGTTCTGGAAATCAGACCTTACACTGCTAAAGCACCCGTCATCAGAGGACAGTATGGAAAATATGCATTTACTCAATTTATGCAAGACCCCACAGCAAATCAGTCACAGGAATGGGAACTAGGGGAGCTGTAACCTTGAATTCCGGAGTTGCAGTCCTGGAATCTAACACCAAAAATGCTCCAAGTAACCTGGGAATTTGCCCCGACATAGTTGCCTTGCCAAATACCTGTTGATATATACTGAATGGGTATTTGTAGACACAGTAGAGTGCTCAGTGTTATTGTGGACCAAGTCTAAGTGGCACCTTTGATGTTTGGATATGCTCCTTTTAAAAAGGCAAAAATTCAGCATTTTTCCTGCATCAGTGCATACAGGAAAGTGGAGTGAAAGATCCTACTTGTGATTCAAGGAACACACTTTGTGCTCTATGAGCATCAGACATGAAAAATAGTCACCTTGCACATCTCCTTTGCTATTAGGTGCTATTGAATACAACTGAATACTTTCACTGATAGCTTGTATTTTAGTCCATGTTTAACATGACAAAAAAGAACAGACCTTGTCCCAGTGCAAGTGCTGAAAACAGATCTGAAAGTCATTTGTAAACCTGTCAGCTTTGAATAAGGTAGAGTACGTATGTGACATGGGACTGATTTGCATGTTTGTAACTTTCAGAAGTTCTGCCAAGGTGTGACAGATCTACAATACTTCAACGTCTCTTACTGCCCTCAACTGACAAATGAAACTGCTAAAGCTCTGGCATTGTACTGCCACAACCTTACGTCCCTCAACTTAGCTGGCTGTCCCAAGGTATGTACAAGAGCTGGGAAAGAGAGTGCCAGGAATGCTGTTACATAAATTAACATAGCGTATCATTCTGAAGTTTCACCTGCTAATGTCTCTATTTTGCAATAGTGTTACAGTTCATATTTCTCAATTAATAATTTTTTACTTGTTTTTTGTAACCATCACCCAGATCAATAACTGTCACTGAGTTTCTGGAAGTTAATCAGGTCAAAACTTTTCAAAAGTGCTAAAATGACTGAAGCAGCTGAACCTCGTAAGGTGTAAGCTCCCATTGCCCAGATTCTTAAAAGTGTTTAGTTGTTGCCAAACTCTGAGTTGCAGCGTCTGACCCCTGGGTGGCCAAGCCCAGTGTCCAGGCTCCTCAGAAAATGCAGGTGAAAAGTTAGGTACCTAAGGAATGGATGTTCAGAAGCTGGCAAGATAGACCTGGGGCAACCTAAGCCAGCTAAAAGTAAAGTACCAAGGAGCAAAGCAGGGGAAGGAGAGGGTCCTGCAGAGCCTAAAGAGTTGAGCTGGTGCACCTGACTGATGGGCTTCTCTTTTCTTAGGATCCTTAGCTGTGAACCCTCCCTCGGAGCTAGGTAAACAGCTGAATTGGCTGACATCTTGTACCTCTTGCTCTGTTCTGCTGCCCTTCAACATATTGGTGGCTTGCTTCTGGGCCTCCAGATATGGAGGTAGCTGGTACCAGATATTCTGCAAGTATGACTACAGGACCAAGCTCTGAGCATATCCACCTAGTCTGAAAATCTGTCCATGGGGCATATGGGGCTTCAGCTTAATTTAGGGTTGCCAGCAGCTTGTTTGTTGTGGGGTGGCATCAGCTTTGTAAATACCAACCAGTGGGCACTTAATTCTGTGCCTGAGGAAGTTGGGGCCTGTAGGATTGGGTGACAGGAAAGCAGCAGTTTTGTGGTACCTAAATGATTACATATTAGGTGTCTAAAAAGGGAGATGGGTGCCCAGGCACTTTTAAGAAGATGGAGCCCAGATTCCAGAAGAGATTTATATCTACAAATTGCTTTTTATTCTGGATGTACGTGCCTTTCCTCAGAAGTGTGATTCATCCAAATCCCACCTACACGTTTATGCACATGAGAAGTCCTAGGCATTTCAGTGCAGATCTATGAATTCTAGCACTTAGGAGAACAGACTTAGTTGCTGGAAAACACATACTACACGTGCTCATCATATTGCCATTTTGAATAAGACAGTTGTGTTGGCATCTGAATCTGGCCTAAGGTTGTTTGCCAGTTATCCCTGCCTCTACTCAGAGTATGCCTAATGGAAGAGGAAGAGGTGCCAACTTTTCTCAGTTGGTTATAGGACTGGCCCAGGAAGTGACAGAATTGGGTTCAACACGACTCAGCTAAGCTGGTCTGAATCCATATCTCCCACTTCCCATGGAAATGCCACCAAGCTAATGGGCTGAGCTAAGCCGAGAGTGACTTTGTCATTCCATTGAAGCTGGTCCACTCAGCAGACAAGAGTGCAAGATTTGCTGGGTCAGAAGGACAGCAAGGAACAGAAAGCCTGATTCTACACCCTAGGGAGAAGTATACTCCCCCAGGAAGGAAAGAGCAAGGAAGCCATGGGTTCAGGACTTGCTCCCACTATAACTCCAGTAATTATTAATTAATCAATCAATAATTAATACCTTATATTATACTTTCCTGTATCTGTTATACACTGCTCCTTTTAAGAGAGCCTGTTACTACTGGGTATGAATACTATTAATAGGAATACTTAAGTAATTTTCATAAATTCCATTACCTTCTTATGCAGTACATTTGCTCCTATGTTTATACAATTATATCTGCTTGCTTTTAAAGCAAAACAAGTATTTACTGAATTTTTGCAATAGCAATTCCAATGTAAATTAAAAAGGGAATGATACTAAAAAGTTTCATAATGACATAATTTTGCTTCTGCTGAAGTCAGTGCTTGACTTAAGCAGGGGAAGATAAAGGCTAGTACGGAGGAATATTGAAAAACAAAAGAGCTCATCCTAGACTATCAGCAATTAAATGCAGCAGCCCCAATTGCAACTCCTCTATCCCACTTTTCTCAGCTGCTTTTAGCTGTTCGATTAACCTTTCAATAATAACATTATAAATGGCAGTCTATAGGCAGAAAGATCAGCTCGCACTAGATGAACAGATCTTGTTTCCAATCATACCTCTTCCACTTCTCTCTTTACCTTGTGTTCATGACACAAGAACATATGGACAAGTATTTACTGAATTTTTGCAATAGCAATTCCAATGTAAATTAAAAAGGGAATGATACTAAAAAGTTTCATAATGACATAATTTTGCTTCTGCTGAAGTCAGTGCTTGACTTAAGCAGGGGAAGATAAAGGCTAGTACGGAGGAATATTGAAAAACAAAAGAGCTCATCCTAGACTATCAGCAATTAAATGCAGCAGCCCCAATTGCAACTCCTCTATCCCACTTTTCTCAGCTGCTTTTAGCTGTTCGATTAACCTTTCAATAATAACATTATAAATGGCAGTCTATAGGCAGAAAGATCAGCTCGCACTAGATGAACAGATCTTGTTTCCAATCATACCTCTTCCACTTCTCTCTTTACCTTGTGTTCATGACACAAGAACATATGGATATAAGCTAGCCACAAAAAAAAAAAAAAAAAAAAAAAAAGACTGGAAATTAGAAGATTTCAAACTATCAGAGCAGTGATATTCTGGAATAGTCTTTGGAGAGAAGAAGGAACAAAAGCCTGCCCAGTTATTTCTTCCCTTTAAAAAGATTACCCAGCAAATCTGGTCTCTTCACAGTTGAAAGGCCTGGACAAAATGAACAAATTACAGCAAGTTAAAAGGGGCCAAGATGTGCACCAGTTGTTCTGCAGTCACTGTCATTGTGTGTGCTATTACCCTGCAGTAAGTGAAAAGTAAGCCACAGTAACTTAGCCTTGTTTCACTCATGTCAAGCTCCCACAATTTAGCTTCTACTTACTACAGGCTGAGAGTGGGCACATGAGGAATTACTCTGTGTCAGCTGCCCCATGTTAAATCCTCACCTCCTTTAGCTTGCCATAACTTGGTTGTTTATACCTTTGGTCACAATCATCAAGACTGTTACAGAAAAATCCATGCTGGATCTTAATAAGCCCTCAATTGGGTCCAAGCCAGTTGGAAATTCCATAGAGTACTGTTGGATGGATACACCTGAGGCTATTACCACTAATGGGTCTCTCAAATTCTTTGGCAATTGCCAACATGGATACAGAGCTGCCAAGTAAGGAAATTTTCCACTCCGAGATGGTTTAAAAATGGACAAGAAGAGCAAGATCTAATCTGTTCCAAGATATGTTTGGCAGAATCTTGTCCTGCAACCTCAGTCATGTGAAAAAACCTGAACAAACACAAACGGGATAACTTGGGAAATGCAATTTAGGAAATTCACTTTCCAATTAGTGTACTGGGGAAACCTGGACATTTCCATGAAGTTTGAAAAAATGATCAGTGTAATCATACTGACTGAACCTTGTTCTTTTCCTTTGAAAAAAATGGTTATCTTTAGTTCAGCACAGTTGGGTTCCCTGACATTATATTTCCCTGGCAAATATGTGAACATATATTTTTAAACAGATTATGAAAATCTTCCTCCTAACATTGCTCATTCCATCTAAAAATTCAATAATGGTGCTTGCTTATAAGCACAGCTGAGTCTCCTGTGTAATTTGTAAGGCTGTAAAGCTTCATTCAGGGAATACTCATTGAATTGTTTTATGGAAAGAATTTAATTGTTGTTGGCAACAAACCACACGAGGGAGAAAATGCACTGAGAGCTGAAAATAAATCCCTGGATAAATGAATAAGCCAGCTAAATAATACACTTCAAAAGATGCAAGCCAGTGGAAAGATGACCTGTGCACAGAGTAGGGTTAGTGTTTGTGATCAAACATATTTCCTGGAATTGGGTCTGATCCTCTGTAATTGAGTCCAGCAGGCAAAGTTCTGCTTACTGCCCTCAGAGTGGGAGGAAGTATTTTGTGAACCAAGTGCAGGGCTTGATTGTGGGCCTCTTCCAAAACCCATGAGTAAAACTGGCATCTCCCTGGGTGGAGGACTGGGAGGGTAGAGGTGAAGGATAGTGGACTTGCTGTCCAGCTCTATAAGCCCCTCTGGAGACCAGAAGGAAACAGGATCATGGCCCCATCTCCTCTTTTGGTCCCTTTTAAGCTTCCATGATCCTAGGAACTGTGAAAGAGCTGCTTGAGAGAAGCCTACTTCTTGTTTCCCTCCATGCCATCCTCCATGCCATTAATTGAATGCTAGGGCTGTGCAAAATGACTGTGTTTCAATTCGGTTTTGGATTCGGCTGTTTTGGATGCCAGTGATTTGTTTCAATGTTTCAGATCACTCCTGTTTTGTTTCATCTGAATCTCCTCCGAATCTGTTTTGAACGGGCTTTAAGTTTTGCATAGCCCTACCACCCAGCCAAGCAGGGCCTGGTGTTGGGGGCTGCAGGGCCCCAGCGGGGAGCAGGATGGGGTCGTGGGTGGCTCGTCCAGGGGAAGGCCGCTGCCCTCTGTGTAGGTGAGGAGACTCCCACTCAGATCTCTGATCCCTGTTATGCCGGGTCGCGGGGCAGGGAAGCAGCACAGAGCAGCGAGCAAGCCTGCTGGTCTCTGCTGCGCGACCTGGCTCCACAGGGAGCAGAGATCTGCGCTGGGGTCTCCTCACCACCGCTGCCCGCCCTTCACAGCCCCACATCACCAGGGCAGTGTGGGGCAGGCAGCGGCGGCGAGGAGACCCCAGGCATGGATCTCTGCTCCCTGTGGAGCCGAGTCGCGTGGCAGGGCAGCAGCGTAAAGCTGTTTCCCTGCAAGCCTGGATCTGTAACTGAAATTTTCCAAAATGTTTCGGATGCCTTGTTTTGTTCCGGAGATGTTTTGGAGCATTCCATTTCAATTCAGATTCAGTGTTTCGGGTGCCAAAACAGCCCAAAACACCTGTGAAACAAAACAGCTGCCAAAATTTTGCACAGCGCTATTGAACGCCCAATAAAGGTTTGGTTTTTTTTACGTTTGTTAAGTCTCCCATAGACTTTGGGCCCTTTAGACATTCAGATTGAAGTCGGTGAGACTACTCACATGCTTAAATTTGCACATACACTTAGCTCACAGAATCTGGGCATTATATAGTGCCCGAAGAAAATGCCAGTGTGAGATCAGTATCCGCTTAGCCACTGGAATTGTGAAGCGAAGCGAAGTTCCATCTTGGACAAAGGGCACGGTGTACCGTCAACAAAATCAGTCATAGGAGAATATGTGCACATTTGTGATAAAGACCTGAAATGTGAAAGTGGGTGATGTTAAATC